ACACACACACACACACACACACACACAAAGAGATATTCCATGCTCCATAACTTTCATACCAAAGCACTTGGAATTCAGCTCCTGATGTGCCTGTGTCTGTGGAAGTGAAGCCAGGGAGCATTAAGGATATGAATATTGATTAGTAGGAAGCTGAAGACCTGGTGTAACCAGACGTCCTCTCCAGCCTCACTTCTACCTGCACCACCACAAAAGAAACCACAATTCCCATGTAGTTAATGACTTGTTTGCTGTTGTCAAGAAAAATGGCTCAACTGCATTCTGAATCTTCTTGAACTCTGTGTAGCTTCCAAACCTTGATCAATAACTATTATCTTACTCCTGCTTCTGAAGCATCCTTAGGTCTTGTCGGCCCTGTTCATTCATTCCTCCATTCAATCACTTATTCATTCATTCAATATGTATCAATGTCCCCAGAGTGCCAGACCCTCAGGGAAGATGCCTAAGACCCAGTCTGACCCACATCACCATGGTGCGCATTCTCCTGGTGTGCCATTTCCATTTCTTCAGGGAACTTTGCCCTGCTTTTCCAGTTGCTTTCCCAGGCAAAGCCTCCCTAGCACTCTCTTCCTAGGGCTTTTCCAGCAACCTCATCTTTCTGATCCTCAGATCAGCATGGTGGAAATCAGACCTCAGTTTCCACCACTCCTTACTCCAGACTTCCTGCTGTACATTGCTTCTTGTTCAGCAGAATAAAAGGATGTCTCAGTTTGCTCCCACCAAAAGACATCTTCCCTGTCCTCTTCTATTGAACAGATTAATTCTTAGGATTTTAACTCAAAATTCAAAAGATGCAAAAAGCCCCAGTCAACTCATTATCACATCTGTTATCTGTGATGTGCTCCAAACGTATCCTTACATACATTTTTATCTTCACTTATTCATCAGTTTCTATTAAACTGTTCCATAGTTCTATGAATGTGGGCTTCCTCAACAAAGTTCCCTGTCCTTTATTTAATACTCTCAAAGCACCTAGTAAAGAACTGTACTCACAGTGCAACATTTAAAATGTTATTAAACAAATATTTCCCTTGACATTAATTGAATGTGAAAAATAAAGAAATTTTCCTCTTCCCTCTCCAACTTACCACAGTGATGTCTTATTCATTACCATGGCAACAGTGGCATTTCAGGCTCCTCTTAGGCCAAAAACAAAAGTCTAAGAGTTGTTTGAATCCACGCTGCTTTTTAGGAGTCCTCTTATGGCCATAGCAAAACATTACTACTTTGAATGCATCACATTTTTACATTCATTTCCTCCCTCTCCATCTCTACCACCAACGTGATAGGTCAAACCCGGTCCACCCTAATGCTAGATCTCATCTCCAGGAGTTACAAATGACAGCCACAAACTTCATCCATGGCCTAGCAAATGAGATGTCATGCTGAAGTCCTGGAGGATGGCCAGGGCACGCCAAGTGTGGAGGGCTTAGACTGTGTCACTCTCATGTCCTCAGCCTTACCCAGTGCCCTCTGGAACAGCTCTGAGGGACATATAGTCACCTGTGATCTAGAGCCAGATGGGGCCACATTTGAAGGGCAGATCAGCCAGAGTGGACAGGTGACATAAGTCAACCTCCCTGCGCTTCATCTGTGAGCTGGAGACAGTGCCACTTCTTTGCAAGATCACTAGGGTCATTAAATGAGGAAGGAAAGAAATGCCAACATTGTAGTTTTCCAACATTCAGTGGCTTCCCTATTGCCTTCTTCTACCACTACACCCACATCACACCACTCCTGCTTCTTTGAAAGATCACAGTGACTTATCTCTGACATTTTCATTTTCTAACATAGAACTCTTTCTGAGCAAGTATCTGAAAACCCAATTCAAATTACTTCAGCAAAAAGAGAAGAAGGGGAGGAGGGAGTCACAATGCTGAGAGGTGCAGGGGTAGAGCCATCTTCTGACCCAGCTGCACAGGAACTTAGAATATCCCCAGACCCAGCTCCTCTCTGGCTCTTGGCTGGGCTCTGCTCTCCTTCCTGTGTTGACGTACTTCTCAGGCTCCACGTGGTCTACAATAATGAAGCAACTCCTGCCTTCCAGCCTCCCAGGTTCCAGTCCAGCTAGAAAACCAAGACTCTTCTCTTGGCTGCAAAAACACACAAACAAACAAAACTACATTAACCCTTATTGGACTAGCTTGAGCTATGGACATAACCCTGAACCAATCACTCCAGTCAGGGATTCAAGGCTGGACTGGCCAGGCTAACAATTGCACATCTATGTGAGATGCGGCATCGGTTTCATCCTGAGTTGAGAAGTAAATTAAACTGGCAGATCTCTGCTTCAAATTGGGGTGATAGACAGCACCTTACTGTCTAAAGGCCAGGAGAGGGTTATCTCCAAGGAAAATGCCAAGGGAGGGTCTTGGAGAGTTCACATCTTTGGAGGGTTTCATAAGTCTGCTCCGGCCTAGTCTGTTTGAAGTGGGGTTATGGTCAAGTGTACTGTCGGGGTCCAATGCCTGGCGCTGCCACTTCCTAGTAGGCAAGTTACCCCTTGGTGGTTCAGTTTTCTCATCTGTGAAAAGGAAATACTGAGTCTAAAGCGAGTAAAGACCTCAGGCTTGGCTCTTGCGAGCATGGAGTCGGGGTTCTGCATTAGTGGAGGCCTCAGGGATGAGGCACCCACAGCACTGCCATAGGCATTCATGTTGAACACAGTGATAGAAGCTGTGCACAGCCCTAGTCCAGGACTCTGCATTTCCAGACTCCTAGGATGGGAGCACAAAACCTCTGTATGGTATTTTTTTAAGTAATTAAAACAAAAGTAGAATTTAAAACAAAATTGAATGAAGAATGGTTTTCTAGCTCTCCTTCTAGACCCTTCCCTAATCAGGTTTTCTGTACACATGTACCTAATGTGCATTTCATTAAATAAGGGCAGACTAGAGCCCAGCTAATTGCATACCTGTTAACGGTATTCATTTCAGAAGGCCCTCAATCAGATGCTCAGCATGAGTGATGCCCCTCAGCTGGTGACCTGACTAGTATCTAAAAACACTCCTAGCCATCCTAGCAGGGTTGATGAAGGGCAGGAAGTGTAACCTTTGACCAGGCAAGTGGTAACAATGTTGCCCTTTCTGCAACCAAGAACCAAAGGAATTAAAATTGAGTCAGTCATCAAGTAGATTGCATTTAGGGTCACCTATAAATCTCTATGAAACATTGACCAAAATGTTTACTTTTTTTAGTAATTTAAAACAAATGGGAAAAGTCTTGTGCCAAACATTGAAAAAACAAATTTGGTCCCTTCGTGATTCCACTCCCTCAGTCTGTGTCACTTCCTGTTAGCAGGCACTCTGCTGAGCCCTTCATCAGGATCACAGCACCACAAACCATGGCTAATTTGACTGCAAATTAAATATATGCCTGCCCCTTCAGCTGATTACGCTGAAATTATTCTATGATGTACATCTGTGGATGACATTGAATTTCTCACATAAAGCAGGGATGATGAAAATCCGTTTCATGTAACTTACTTTAAATCTCCTTTTGTTTTCCACTTCCCCTTTAATAACATTCAGATTGTGTTTTGCAATTCCACCGAGCATCTGACTGGAACAAAAGGGCCCCAGTTCTGTGGTTGTTCATGTTTATAGTTAGGCTGTTAATTCCAGGGGTGGTGGCTAAATTCTGATGGAGATGTTCAATGGCAATTAGGTTAAAACCAAGCAAATGTGAATATAAAAGCAGCTCAAACCCGATTTGCAGCTTTGCCCTGTACTGTAAGCTTTGGCCAGTGGAGGGTAGGGATTCAGGTCAGGTTGCAACTCCTTGCTGTCTGGCCCTCCTCTCTCCATCACTCCGGCATTGACCAGGCCGACTAATGCAGAGTGAATGTAGCTTCAGTAATGCTTCCGACTTTGACACCACCTCATGTGATCCTTCTCAACCAAGGTATTGATTGGAAAATTGACTTCCTGACTTCTAAGTAATTGTCAATTTTTTTAATGGAGTTCCTGTCTACTGAATATACATTCCCCTTTTGCGTTTTTCTCTTTCTATAATTGAGGTACAGTCAGAACGTCTCAGAATCATCCTTGTATTCTTAAGCTAAAAGAATGGAGAAAAGCAAATGATGTTCATATTCATGCCCGAGAATGATCTCCACCACTTCACAAAGATTCTCTCAGCTCTCTACTTTCTGCCACCCCTGAACTGTAACTTCAAAATAGTATATGCCACTGGGCGACATGGGACATCCACTTTGGGAGGCTGAGGCGGGAGGGTCGCAAGTTGGAGCACAGCCTGGGCAATTTAGTGGCTTAGCGAGTCTCCATCTCAAAATTTAAAGAAAATAAAATTTAAAGGGCCTGAGGATTATATCTTAGTGTGAAGGCTGTGGGTTCAATCCCCAGTACTACAAAGGGAGGTGGAGCATATAGCATCAGTCTAGTTGTAAAAGGGATGATTTTCTTCCCATAGAGCAAAAATTTGTTTGGATTTTATATGTTTTATTCAGATTATCCAATTTCATTCGTCTCTACCCCACAGGGACTACTGTATAAACATGAATGTACTTGCCCTGCAATTTCACTTAATAATCTGAACTTTAAATATGTTACCAGGAATGAGTTAGACATGCTGTATGGATCTAGAAATTGCTGTTGACAGAGAGAGAAAGAACCCAGTGAGTCCAAGTTATTTCTCAAGATGTCCAAATTCTGTTGGTTAGAGTCATTCCTAAAAAGCCTGGGATTATCTCTTTTTAAGACATTCAAGTAGCTGGAAGTTTCTCCACAATGCAGAGAAAATTTCTCTGCCCTTAAAGATTTCAGAGAAGTAATGAGAAATACTAGCAAGGGTATTAGCTAAAACAAGGGTTCATCTGGGTCTGCCACTGGTGCCCTTCATACCTGGCCTCTCTTCAGGGAAACTCGCTGCAGTCCTCTGCCTGCACACCTGGAAACCGAAGGCCTCCCCTGAGATGCACATCTCAAGAGCTTCCTCTGGCCCAACATCACTGCTTCTAGGCCATGCTCTAGGCACCAGAGACCCCAGAATTCCTCATCTGAAAGGGCCCTGAGGGGCAGGCCAAGGATGAGCTCTAGTGAGATAGAGGGTGGGAGTGTGAATGTGAAGCTGGAGTGTCTAGGTTGGAAAGATAATGAGGCAATGGCCCAGGGTCCAGCTGCTGCAGGTCCTTATGCCAGGTATTCAGAGGTGAAGGAGGGAGGTGAGGCCCCCCAGAGGCTCTGATCTAGCCAGAAATATAGGTGGGAAAGAAGCAATTAGAAGGGTGATGGGGCTTGCAAATGAGAAGCACAGGGTGCTTCTGATATGGGCAGTGAGGCAGGGGAGGCAACCCAGGTTTAGGGGGAATGTCGGAGGAAAGTAGCAGGGACTCCTTCCCTGAGGGACCCCTGCTCACAGTCCCCACCCAGGACTTCCTACATACCAAGGCAGAATTCCTACACAGGGACTCAAATGTGCAAAATGTAACTCACTTTATAATGCTTATGTATTTGTCTTTTCTGATTTCAAGGAACGCTTTCCAGCTTAGTTCATTGTCTTTCACATCCTCCTTAAATGACAAATACATATTTTTCTTCCACTATCAGCTGAGTGGTGCCTTAGAATACAAACCCTTTTTTAAAAAATAAAGAAAGCTACTTGTTTTCTAATAAACTGTAGAAAGTCAAATCCCTACCATGCTGCCCATTTCAGGTGTAGCTTGACTTGCATCTCTATGACCTTGAATGAATCACTGCATCTGTGTAATGAGAAGAACAATGCCTGTCTCAGACAGTTAGTGTGAGGGGTAAAGAAATAAACATTTAAAGTACGTACCACAGAGCCTAGGAGAGAGTAGGTTTTCGTAAATGTTAGTGGTACTTCTCTGTCCTCGCATTAACATTAGAAGTCCAGGCTGTGTTTTGTAAACTTTTGAGAAGGGAGGATAGGAAGGAAAAAGGAAGAAAGGAAAGGAGGAAAGAAGGAGGGAAGGAAGGAAGGGAGGGAGGGAGGGAGGGAAGGAAGGAGGGAGGGAGGAAGATTCTGCATTCTTTACACTTAATAATTCTCTGCTTTACTTTACTGCTAAGAAACTATGACTGAATTCTACCAAGACAGGTACTTGTTACAGTTTAGATCTAAAATATTCCCAAAAATTCTCATATTTTCAGAGGTAGGGCTTTTGTAAGGGGACTGAATCATGGGGGGACCATACTCATGGGTGGAATAATCCATTGAAGTGTTCATAGCTGAATGTGCTATTAGGAGGTGGAGGCTGGTTAGAAGAGGTGGATCATTGGGCATGACCTAGGAGGGTGTATTCTTGTCCCTGGTCCCTTTTTCTTGCTCTGCTTCCAGCTGCCACAGACTGAGCAACTTTCCTGCTCCACCAAGCTCTTCCACCATGATGTTTCTGCCTTGGAGACAGCCAGTCATAGACTCACCCCTCTGAAACCATGAACCAAATAACTCTCTCTTCTTTTAAGTTGGGAATGTGAGTTATTTTGTCCTAAGGACAGCAAAGTGACTAATGCAGTACCTAATAACAACTACATGCAGGCATATTTAAGAGAGTTAAACCATTAAACTTGATTGTTTCAACTTGACTGGCTTGGAAGCTGCCTGGGATATTGATGGAGCACACTTCTGGGTTTGCCTGATGTAGCCTTGGGAACCGCACCTGGTCCCTCACCCTTTCCTCTCTGGCACTATTCCACTGCTGTTCTTCCTGGTTACCATGAACGAAGCATCTTTGCTCTACTATGCCCCTTACACAGTGATGTTTCTGCCTTGGAGCCAGCCACTCAGGAATAGAATCCCCTTGAAACTGTAAGCAAAATTAAACCTCTCTTTTAGATTACGGGTATTAAGTATTTTGTTCCAGTGATGGGAAAGCTGACTAATATAGAGCGAGACAAAAACACAGAGGGAGAAGTATATTCACATAAAGTGGGAAAAAATAGTATACTTAATGTACAAATTGCCATCCATACCTCTGTTTTACTTTCTACTAAATTTCTTTTTTAAAATCAGACAAATGAATCCATGGCATTTTTGGAAAGATATAAACAGAGATCATGTGACATTGCCAGACCCTGGATCTGCAAACATCACTGGGATGTAGAAACCACAAGTTTCATGACTCAGGATTCCCTTCACATCTGAACTCTCACCTCCTTCTGCTGTACATCCTCCACGAGCTCCACTTTTTTATCTTTGCTCCCCATCAGCCTCTTACCTCCTATATTCTACCTTCTGGTTTTACTAAAAAGCTTTCCAAAGATGAAGCTGTAATATAAAGAATCAAATTTTGGAATTATCTAAATTCCAGAAACACTGAAGACATGAAAATCCACAGAATCATAGCTTTCGGCAGGTTGATAAATAGCACTTTGTCCTCACCTTAGGTTTCTGGTGTGTTATGGTAATGATACATGCCACTTTCTATATTTACTTCCAGAGCCTTTTTTATTTATGGGAAAAGATACAACCAGACATCTATATTTTCTGTTTTGTGAAGTTTGGGGGTGAGTAAATCTATAGGCATATAAATGCATTCTTTTCTAGGTAATGTAGTAAGTGCAATACAATAAAGTTTCTCTAAAGGCAGTGTGACTACTTCCATAAAGTAAATTTAAAGATAAAAGCAGTTTGGAAGTCTATTTTTATGAAAAAATAATGGATGCAGTAAATAAAATGTTAGAACAAATTCATATTTTAAAAACCACACCTATATTTCTTCCACTCACATGGTTACTTTCACCATTTTCTTTGTAATCTTTGTCACATACATACATTTCACAAAGCAATCATCATTTAAATGCTATTGTGGGCTTTGCTTTCTACAGTCTACAAAGCCAACCCCAGTGTTCTACAGAACAACAATAAAAAAAGTCTGTTCCCTGTGAACCTATATAACTTAATTACTATCAATGGCTTAACTTACAATGATTTCTATTTTGATAATCCCTGTCTCCTGAAGAATACAAACTGCTTTAAAAATAGCACCTTAGAAACCACATGGCAGCTCAGAAGTTCCCCTTGCACAATGTCCCATTTTAATAGATGAGGAAACTGAAGTTCTCAAGAGGGTTTGGGACCAGCCAGCCTTATTCTGGGCAGACCCAGGACTGCAATCCAACTTCCAGAACCTCAAAGCACCTTTCTACCCAGCCACAGCTGTGTCCTGCCAGCCCCCAGCATCTCTTTTGTCCAGGGTGAATGATGAGGAGAGGTGCTGGTCATGGGAGGGCAGTCTCTTGCTGGTCACTTTTTCCAACAAAGGAGAACCATGCAGCTGCTGCTTACCCCTAATCAGGGCTGGCTTGCATAGCATAGCTCTGACCTGACTATCAGGCTGTGATTACTCTTCTGTCTTTTAAAATCTGTTCTTTATTTCCTAGGAAGCCAAGGGCTGGGTCCATAGTTCCAGTGCAGTTGCAGTCCTGAGTATGGTGCCATACAGCTGGTGACTGTGAACTTGATAACATGGATGTAAATCATCCTTCTGTGGAGCCCAATCCAAGGGCTACAATGTGACTCTCCTGGAGGCAACCATCTGGGATCCTTCTTAGCACTTTGGGGCAGGGTAGAAACCTGGCAAAAACTCAGAGCTCCGTGACTTTTTCACCCGAATCATTCTCTGTCAGCTGGATTCATGCAGAAAGGTTTTGTCTGCGCTGATAGAGCTGGTGCTGTTCACACAACCAGAACGTGTTCTCTGCCAGCACCCGGCCTGGGCCTGCAGAGTCCCAGGATGCTCTAAGAAGGTGGAGAGCACAGGGCTCCCAGCCTATGTCTCCTGGGCAATTCAAGCTTCTGAGTGCCAGCAGAAGTGGAGGTCCTCTCAGCTGGCCTTTCAGCTTCTCAGCTGTGTACTAGGGAACCTAGAGCACCTACTCCCTTTCCAAAAGGCTGAGACAGCCATGTGCCATAATGTTCCCTAACAGCTGAACAGAGCTGCATTTGGGCTCATGACCTGGTAATCTGCACTAGAAAGTCCATATTCCTTTACAAATCCCCTGAGACTCACTATGTATTTGACTTGTTTTCTCTGAATTTCACATCATTTTCCTTATATTAAGCCATCCCTTTCACAGCATTACTGAGTCTGAGGAAGAAGGCAGACCCTAAACATACTCTATTTCGCAGTTTTGCCCTCTGCGTTTGAATTCACAGCTCACCCACCCCATGGCAAGCAGGCACAGGGGCTTAGCCATCCAGGACTGCTCTGATCATTGCCTGTCTGCTAATGATCTGCAGAAAAATCAATGCTTAAAGAAATCCACTGAGGGAGGAGGGGCACTGGTGTGAGATGGACTTCCAGGTGTCTGCTGAGGAAGTGGGAAACTTTTAGGCTATGGTCTAGCTGTGCCATGCCAAGACAAGCGGGAGCTGGAAACAGATGTCCACTTTGGACCATTTCTGAAGCTGAATTCAGAACAATCCTGAGATCTCTTCTCTCAAGGTGAGGCTTTCAGCCCACTGTACCACCCGCCCCCCAAACATAGAGGAGCAGAGGCCTCCAGCAGCAAGCAGCTGAGCCTTTCCAGCTCCCGTACCACCGCCCCCAGCACAAAGGAGCACAGCCCTGCCCAGCACTGAGGAGGTGAGTCAGGTGGGTGCCAGTAGCTACCCCCCTCCCCTCGCCTTGCATTCAAGCAAAAAGATACCACAACAAGTCTCAAAACCAGACTTCCAGATCACCTAAAGCAACATCAAAGGGAAATGATATGGAACAATCTGATACTCAACCACCTGGACTCCCTGAACTGACAACAAAAGAGGACCTGGAAAAAATGAAATCAGAAATAATTTCTCACATAACAGCAGTGATTGTGCCCATAGTTCAAGACATGATAAATAAATATAGAGAGGGCACATATAAAAAAATAGAGGAGCTGAGGAACATAATGAAATTCCAACATAGGAAACAAATGGAATCCATAAAACAGATGCAAGCAGATTTCCAGGTCTTGAAAGTTTACTCAGCAGAATGAGCCAATGTGAGGACAAAATTTCAGATACAGAATATAAGATTACAATTAGTGACTAGGAAAATAAAAATTTCATTAAAATAGTAAGGGACCATGAGAAATCAATCCAGCAGCTGCTAGATTATGCAAAGAAGAATAACATAAGACTGATCAGAGACAATGAAGAAACAGGAGAGAGTGCAGATGACATAAAAAAAACTGTTCACAGGAGTGATGGCAGAAAACTTCCCAAGGAGGGGAAAAGAATTTGACATGCAGATAAGTGAGGCATATAGGACTCCAACTAGCCTTGATCAAAAAACAAAAACTACACAAAATATGGACTAAATGTATAATAGGTAATGTGAAACAGGAAGAAAAGGGGCAAATGGGAAGGAAGTAGGAGGGCTAGGAGAAAGGATAGAAGGGAATGGGATTAATATGAGAAAATGGAAAGATAGGAACAAAATCTTTGTAAATAGGGAGGACTGGAGGGCTTGAAGGGAGGGCTGGGCAAGGGTGAAAAATAAGAACCAAGAGAGACTATGTAAAGGTGTAAATTTCCAATGATGAATGTCAT